AGATTAGTCGTATCTAACCGTTCGACGTAACAGACTTGTGCAACTTCTTTCACGAATCCTCTCCTCTGCAATTTATCGCTGTGTAATTTTTTAACAGGCTCATCTATCTCCGCTCTCAACGAGCTCTCGCGCGATGACGTCAGGCATATTTGTATCGTAAAATAAAACCGCTCCTTCCTTCGTCGAGGTTGAAACACGCGTTAATAAACGCGTTTGCTTCGATCGTGCGAACGAGGTGTCCGTGCACGAGTCCATGCACACTCGTACGAGAGAGAGGAAGTAAATAGTTTCCACACGATAGGATGTTGTTAATGTGATTTAAACCGCGATCGACTTTGCCGTTTCGCAATCAAACACGCGCTCCTCCTCGACTCTTCGAAGCTAAGCGGATAGAGAGATTCGATTCGCTCTACTTTTCCTTCCTTCTCTTCTCGCGCTAAATTTTCTCTCCTTTCCTTCGTTTCCTATTCTTCACCGGGGAGGAAGGGTGTATATACGCAACGCGAATACTCCCCCTCTAATAATCGTCTCAACGACACCAATTTCTCGTTGCAATTTTTCTCGTGTCACTTGTCCCGTCTCGTTACGTTTCTCGTTTCGCCTCATTAAAATCGAATGTTTTTCTGGGGCGAATAATGAATAAACATCGCGAGCGGAGATAAAGGATTAAAACTTATGCGAAATAGCGTGTCGTTGACGCGAGATATGAAAAGTTATTCCAATCAAGAGTCGCGCTTTCAACCGGTCTGTCATTCAACTTGTACGTGTTTCCTTTTTTTTTTTTTTTTTTTTTTCTCCTCGAAACGGCACGCGTGTGAGTTTATCATTTTTCAACCCACCACGTGTAACACACATACACGCCAATGTCCCTCTTCGCCCAAGTAGATCTGGTATATAAATATACGCGGGTTCGAAACGAGGAAAAGATAGAGGAAAATGATAGGCGGCACAGGCGATCAAGGCGAAGCGAGAAAAGGATGGAGGGTATTAGCGTGAAAGGGAGGGGAAGCGAGACGGAGGGAACGTTAGCACGAGAGTAGCGTGCGTTGTGTCGATGCGGCCTGAGAGAGGCTTGGCGCGCGAGTAATTCGAGTAATTGCCGGACAATTACATTATCTAATTAACCTCGGAGGTCGAATCGGCCGGCCCGCTCTCTGCGCTCTCTCGAGCTCGTGATTGTCCCTCGTGGCGCAACCTTAATCGTTATTGTTTAACATGCTCGAAATTGTCGCCGTCCGTGATCGACCGATTGCCTCGTTCACGGAAACTCCAAAGATTAAAAATAAAAATTACTCCCGTTCCGTTTAATCAAACGTATTTATCCTCGCTCGATCATCGTTTCGTATCCACGTAGGACACGCGTGGATTCGAATCTCACGAACGAGTAACAAGAAAAAGGATTCGAATTTTCTTTTTCAAGAAGTGAACAAAACACTTCCAACCACCTCTAAATACTTTCCTACTTTTCGCTCTGTTCGTCGATCGAGTATCGATCAAGCGATGACATCGAAGATTCAATTCGTGATTGTGATAAAATCAGGGAAAGAATGACGGGGAGAGAAGACACTCGATACTACGTGGCAGATCCGTGTCGTGCAAGACGATAGAGAAGCAGGTAGCTACGAGGTAATATCCGTGCATAATGCGATGCAATCCATCTCCTCTCTAACGATCGGGTTGGTCAACGAACAACCCTTGGAATTTACCATTAATCTCGGTATAAATCATACGTCTCGACTTCTGCTAGAAAGCTGCGTTCGAAACGGCAATTACCAATGGAATGACACGGCATTACGGACTATTTCGACGGTAGCGCGCCGCCAGTGTACTTTCCTCGGCGAAGCGGGTAAGGGCGGAAATTAATTTGCCCGTAATCGTAATAACGTAAGCGCCGTTGCACTCGGGTATCGAAGCGGAGAGTAAGATAGGATTTTCGAGACCGTTTCGACCGATCGAAAACGAGGGAGAATACGCGGGAAGAGAATCGGCGCGGATAGAGACGGAAGAGGAGCAAAGTCGGTAGCCAAGTCGTGTAATGTGTGCGAAATGCGTGCGTAATATGTGCTTAACACGCGTACGCCGTGAAGGGCCAATTACCGATTAGCCACACTGTCGTCGATCGAATCGAGAACGAGTCTCTCTCTCTCTCTCTCTCCCTCCCTCCCTCTTTTTCTCTCGAGGAACGTCCAACATCCGTTCTCTCGGAACGCTTCGGTCGGAGAATCGGTGGAAAGGAATGGGTTGGGCTGGTCGAAGGAGGAAGCCTGCAAAAAATTCGGTTCTGCGATTAGCGTGGAATGGATATAAAAAAAAAAGGGGAGAAAAAAGAAAGAAAGAAAGAAAGAAAGAAAGAGAAGGGAAGAAAAAAGATTTAAGCGCAACGGGATTATGCTCGTGTAACGAAACGGACAATAAGAGAACGAGCGAAAATTAGAGAGAGAGTTGACGAAGCGTTGATTTTCGAGCGTGGCCCCGTCGCTGGTTCTAATTAGCGATCACACACAGGGCCCGCTAATCTCATTTGCCAAGGAACGAATAACGGGTCGGAGAGAGAGAGATAAAGAGAGCTGGCGGCATTTCTAATCGGGAGCATGACTCGTCGGTCGATTAATGACAGGAGAAGTTACGGGAGAAGAGTCGAGGGGGGACCAGGGTACGGAGAATGGGGGGAAGAGAGCGATGAGAGGTGGGACGTGGAACGAAGAGAGGGACAGGATCGAGGAGAGAGGCAGAGAGGTCCGTGGAACTGGTTCCGTTCCACGGATCACTGGAAACAATCATCCTTATTAAACTCACCACCGACCCACCCCACGGATATAGAGGTATTCTTCGGAATGATTTACCGGGAACCGTCGAAACAGGTGGATATCGTTTCAACCGACGATAAATTTTATACGTAAAACTTGCCCGCCACGAAATCTTTCATTTTTTTCTCCCTCCCCCGTATCCATATCTGTATCCATCCCTTGAGTTTATCGAGATAAAAACAAGGGGGAGGAGGTGAAAGGGGAAGGAAAAGGGAAGATGTGGTAGGGGTAGGATGATTAGTCGAGGCACGGTAGCTCGAGCCACACGATTCTAATCTAAATTAGATCTTAAGAGCTCGTAAAAGTAAGTGGCCACGTTCGAAGGCTTACAACATCCCTCCCCCCGTGTCTGGATATTTCATCGTTCGGATTTCTTTGACCTCGTCGATCGGGATAATTCACAATCACCGATACCGATTGATCGGTCGACGTCGCGAACAAGCGCCGTTTTCGAGCCGTTCTGCTGAAAATTAGGTAAGGGGACATTCGTAGATGGATGGATGGATGGATGGATGGATGGATCGTGCGTGGTAACGATTCAATAGAACGAGCCAATCGCGAGTTGCCTGAGCTGCTGTAAAAGCAGCTAATGAATATGCATCGTGATCGAGCGAGCTACCTCCTCTCGGTCAGCTAGTCAATAAACCTAAGCGGCCATAAAATCCAATTAGTGTGAAATTAATACTCCAACACGGTATCGAGAGGGAGACGGTGAAAGAAGAGAAAGAGAGAGAAGGGACAAGAAATGAACGATCGGGGAAGGGATTAATTTATATCGAAACGGCAAAAAGATATGGAACGACCTGTATCGAGGAAATGATCCCCGATTACGAAACGATGGATTACGCGGCGAGGCGAAATTGCTTGCAAAAATTGATCGATTTCTTCTTTATCGACCCCCGATCTATTCGATGCGCTCTCCTCGGAAATTACAAAATTAAATCCGTACCATCCTGTGTTTTTCCCGATGAAGAAAGTAAAAGCCTGGACCTGGACGGGGTTAGAGGAGCAGGCCAGACGCAGCATTTCGATGCCGCCGGACATATTAAGCCTTTATCGCGAGTCCGAACGTTGAAATTTCCGATAAGTCCGGACCGCTCGTCCGTCCGTTATGCGACCATAACAAGATAGCCCTTGAAATTTTTTACGCCAAGTATTACGGCTGCCAAATATTCCTTGCACCACTGCCAAATATTCGTCGCATGGCTGCCAAATAGTCCATATTGCGCGTAGTCGGATAAAATGCTAGTTAAAATTACTACCATTGGTACTCAATCGGTGAATATCACCCAATGGCCATCTTGAAAATTATTCTTTTGGATAGTTGTTATGCAATCGTGCACTTTTAAAAATAATCGTGTTGAAATTATTTTTCAAAATCGTGCTTTGAATCGTGAACACGATGCCGATACAGGATGCAGTTACTTCTCAAAGTAAACTCACTTTAAAATTATAATTCAACCAGATATAAATTATGAAAAGTATTCTTCGACGTTTCTTTGGATCGGGGATTCTTTCCCGTATTTCATCACGTACCATCGTGATTCGCGCGAAATACAACGTTCAACCTTTCGAGCTGCTGAATTTGTGGCAAAGCTCGGCCGTGTTTATTCTATCAATGGTACACCATACCAGCTGTGTATATCTGCTTCTCTTCTCCGCATATCCCCTCTACCTTCCACTTAATTACGAGAACCTATGCCGCAGCCACAGGACCGGGCCTATTACGAGCGATTACACCGCTATTAGTTACCTACCGGGTGTTCCGCGCTACGAAAGGAAGAAAAAGGAGGCGAAAAGAAAAAGCTATCCGGATAAATTGCGCTACACTCCGTTGCTGGCGCGTTGCTGGATCCAACGCAACTGGATCCAACAGCCGGCAACTTAATAACGCGAAATCATAGTTTTGACGCGGCGCGGCAAAATTTACGCGACGACCACTATTCCTCTCCCCTTCCCTCCAAGGAAAGTGGGATGATCGATGGAGGAAGGCGCGATCGTTTCCCCGAATCGATAGATCTCGCCAGATCTTTCACGCATTCCTCCAACAATCTCGTCGATCACTTCGATCAACGTTGGAATTAACGCTATTTTTCCTATCCAATTTCATCCTATCTCTCTCGAGTTTCACTCTTTTTCCTTCCTATATGTATCGCGCGGATATCTTCGCGAATCGAAAGGATTCTCGACCGATGCAATAGATAAGATTTCGTAATCGATCGAAACATCCGGGTCCGTTTTACGATCAAGGCCCGTCTATATATTTACGTTTCATCGTAAATTCAACGGAATCCATTAAAAAAAAATGTTGGAAGGAACGGAAGGATGGTCGACGCGGATGATAATTTCCTTCGTAGATAGATATTCCCATAATCGTCGGTGGAAAGCGTGGCACGGGTGCCCCCTGTCACGAAATATTTCGGCTCGGATGGAAGCTAATAGCTCGCTCCACAACTTCCTACCGTATCTTGATCCCGTTACACAGGGGAAGGCTGACGAACACTGGACAACCTCTATCGTCTAGACATTCTCGTCTTATCGGTGAAACGGAGATACGCGTTGAGAAGCTCAACGGAGGGGGAGGGTTTCCATATTTTCGGCGTGATAGAACATCGCATCCAAGAGTAGAGTTTTCGAACGGGGGAGAAAAAGGGCAAGGTTTTGAAAACTTTGAAAACGTGGTACGCGGTTTTTACTGAACCGTACCTGGTGAACACGTCGGGATAATGAGTTCTCGAGAAAGCTTTCTCGAGTTCCTCCAATTGGAAGCTGGTGAAGGTAGTCCTATATCTGCGCTGTTTCCTTTTCGGTGCGAAGTCGTCGACCTCGGTCTCGCTTTCAGGGCTGGTCGGCGCTGCTCTAGGGTGGTTGCTCTCTTCCTCGGCTCTCACCTCTTCCGTAGAGATTCCCATTTGAGTCGATTGAGGTGTTGTCGTAGTAGGTGGCGGTTGTTGGTGAGCTTGCTGGCTCACCTGTTGTAGGCTCACCTGATTCACCTGGCTCGAGCTGCTCGTGCTGCTCGCAGGACTTGTCTGCGGGATAGCTTGCTCGCCCCCGCCTCCTCCTCCTCCTCCTCCTCCTCGTATCGAATGATCTGCGATCCAGAAAGTTTACATTATTTGCGGCATCGACGCAAAATTATTCGACGAAAATTATTCGCGAAGGAATAATGCGATACCGCGTACAGTGGTCGAGTTATCGACATTTGGATTATAATTGGATATCCGAACAGATAAGGAGATCCTGTTGGTTTAGCTTCCGCTAACTCGAGTCGCTTTAATTTTTTTCATCGCGTTGTATAATATCTATATATATATAAATTCGATATTATTAAAATATATGTATATATACAGAAATTGCAATTGCTCGAACCGTTCCCATAATATCAATGTCAGCTCCGCACAGAACTAGAATCGAACGTGTGCACGCAATATAACGAACATGATACAAGATGTTTCAAAGATACGTATGAAATGTTGGCGGATTAATAGCCTTCGCGATGCACGAGCGTCGAAATAACGTGTAAAATTAGAATGGATCGCGTAATTAGACGATACGGCGTGTCGAGATGACGTCGATATTATTTAACGATGATCGGTGGCCGCTTCAAGATCGGCCGGTTATTTTTGAATCGAATTATACGTAGACACGACTACGCAGGCACGAGACGGAGACGGAGACACGGGGACCGAGGTGTACAGGAGGAGGACAGAGTTATCGTTCCTTTCACCGACCTTGCCGCATTAATGATCCCTACAAGCCCACACTTCGGCACGTTCGGTGCTGTGAGTGATCATGTAACAACGTTCGATTCGCTTGTAACGACCAGAATCATTTTCACGCGCGATCGATACTTGGACATACCAACCGATGGATCCTACCTCGTGCTTACAACCTGCTACTGATAATCCCCGTCCGCAATTTGCAATGGTATTTTACTCAGCTCCCGAACCGGTTCCCCGCCCGTAATAAATTTCGTCAACTCGACTCGCCGCTTAATTCCTCGTTATTGAAATTCGACCGTTCGAATGGGTCCTTAAACGTTTAATCATTCCCATTACCATTCTCGTATCACACGTCTAAATCTATATCATTCGATCGTATCTGCAGTTCGAATAGAATTCGAATTTTTTTTACAGATTTTGTCGCACGACAAAAATCGAAGTTGTCGAAGGTAGGAGTCGAGATGTAGAAAGAGAAGGGAAGAAGTAGAAAGATCGAAGCGGTTTGCGCGGTAGATCGAGCAGCTGTTTTTCTTCTTCCTCTTCTTTTATTTATTTATTTATTTATTTTTTTTTTCTTATTTGGGCCGATTTATCGGAAATGAGTTTATAATGCAGGTAGCCTGAACGTAATGCGAACGATAAGCGAGATCTAAGGTTGGTAAAGGTTTTCTTCTTTTTTCTTTTCTTTTTCCTTTCTTTTTTTTTTTCTTTTTATTGGATTTCACCATGAAATCCATCGAGTACATGCAGGTTCGTGTTACCGTGTTTCTCCAAGACGGAGAAGGAGCGTAAGAGAGGAACGCGTAGGTAGCCTTTTACATTATAATAGCATTAATGGGCTCGAAGCCGCACTTAATGCTCGTTCGTTCGTTGGCCAGTTCGCTTCGTTATTAACTGAAAATTACCGAAACCGAAATCTAATTCGCGTAAACACTGTAATTTCGTGGCGGGAGGAAGCGACTGTTCGTGGCTGGCACGGATCGGCGCGAACCCGAGATTTATACCTCAACAGAAGCGTATCCTCGAATTTTTTGGCGATTCTTTGAAAATTCGAAAATTTCTCTCTCTCTCTCTCTCTCTCTCTCTTCTATTTCTTTCTCTCTTCTCGTCGATTTATTTTTTTTCCCCCGATTTAATTAATAAATCGAAACCGGAATAACCGGTGCTCGAGGGAAGGAAGGGTTGCGTATCGACCGCGTTGTTAATTGATCGTCCGTATTGAAAATTTTACTATGTTAATTTGTATCCGTTCGAACGGTTGCAAACTCTTACTCTGTGTATCGCGAATGCACGCGATTAGATGCGTCACGCTCGATTAGATCCTTCGGATGGAGTGATTTCCGAGTGAGCGGCTTGGAAATCCGCTAGTCATTTCTGTCATATTTACACGCTACCACGAGTACTCCTGTACGTGTCTGGTGAAACAGTCAACAGTTGTACGTACCTATATATACATGTATCCTGTGTGTACACATTCACTGGGTACATTACGCGTTCCTATGATCACGATTTATGGGCATACAAATTAGCGCGGCGTAATAAACTAATTAGCCAACTCATTGAGGCCGCGTGTGTTTCTCGCGGACGTGTTATAACGGGCGAGTCGACTCGTATAATATTTTTCAACGATGACATTCAGTTACCGAGCTCTCCAGAATTTTCTACAATTTTCTCTTACACTCGCAATGAGAATAATAATAATAATAATCTCGAAACTCGTTCTTCAAATTTATTTTTTCCTCTCCTCTCAGTGAAAGCTAGAAGTCAACCTCTATGTGGTGACAGTTGCAAATCCAATTCGCGAGAATGTTATTATCATCTACGTTTACTATCTTTATTTTTTTCGTCAGGTTCTCTCTTTTTCCGCTCAAATTTCCGAAAGAAAAAAGGAAAAAAATTCCCTCGGGCGAAAAATATTGTGATCGAAACGATAAAGCTATTGCTATGATGCAAAGCATCATTATTCTCGAGAGCGCGCCGATGCGTATACGAATCATGGAATCGAGACGTCGGTGTACACGGCGACGCGTTACAACGAAAAAAAGGTGTTCCTCCATCGAATCATACTTGCAAATTCCCGCTAATAGACGCATCAATGCATCCTGTGACAAGAACCGGCGACGGTTGGACGTGTTCGATTTCTCGCCACGATAATAACAAGCAATTACGAATTATCGGCAATCCTTTGTAGCCGCTGGCTGCTCGATAGCGATAGCGCCCTCCGATAAACGGCTCACCGATATTTACCTTCCGGATGCAGGTTACGCCCGCACCATGTGGTGCGTTTCAACCTTTCCACCTGTATTAATTAGCCCGTATAACATCGACCACTCTGCCCTCCGATAATAATTGCAACAATGGGGAGAGAGAGAGAGAGAGAGAGAGGGGGGGGCTCGCGTAGAAGTATTAAAAGATGTAAAAGGGGAGATGAGCCGAGGCTCGACCCGTGTCGATGCGAGGCGTGTCGAGGGGAGGCGAAAGGAAGGAGAGGGCCGTCAGGAGGCCCTGTACACCGTATTACCTTCGTATTATCCTTACCTTCGTGTCTAACGTTATATATACTCTGACAATTATCTTACGCTCGATCGTAAGAGAGGTAATTAAGTTGGCAACAATCGATTTTTTTTTTTCTTATTTCGAACTCTCGCGTTAGAACGAACGAGACTTTCCCATGGAAACGCGATCAAGAGATAAATTCTTATTCGAAATACGATCGAATGGGCGCCAATCGTTTTTCATCCAATCGTTTAATTATTGGCTCATTGTCAACGAGAAATAAAGATCGATTAGAAGCGTTGAATGGATCGAATTTCTCGGGTATACGCGAATCCTGGACGAAACGATCGATTCTCGATCGAATTCTCATGTAATTCGTTCCTCGTGAATTATCGCGATATGTTATTACTCTTGTTGTTCGATTTCGTCGCGATGAATCTATTTCGATCTGATAGATCGTGAAAAGGATGTATATTATTGATTACACGTAGTGTGTCAAATTAAGGATTTTGGATTCCTAATTTTAATTTTGTTGGAGCTTCTTTTCTTTCAAACGCGATTTTGACTAATAATAGATTTTCTGCAGTTAATGTCAATAATTTTGAAATTAATGTTGGCAATTTTGTGTACGCAACAGAAGAATTGTAAGAATTCAAAGTTTGCAGTTGCACGGAATATAACAATATTATTCGTTCGATAAGAAAATAGTGCAAAGATACATTTGAAAATGAACGGGAAAATTTTTAAAAAAAAAGGAAAAGATGTTTGTAATTATTATTTGTCGCGGGTAATAAAGCAACATTCTCCACCGATCAAACGATAAAAAAAACCGGATTGTGCGTGTTTGTCGTTGAACGTTGTAATGAGTTACAAGACAATTATTTTCCAGTATAATTAACTCAATCGCGATATTATTTTATTTATCTATCCAACAATCACGTAATATATATATTTTTTTTTGCGTTTCTATTCGTAATTAATAAAACGCGGTCTCACTCCATGGTTCAAACAAACCATTTAATTTACACGTATTACGCGATTCACAATGAACGCGTTCAAACTTTTCGCCGATTTACATCGCTGTGTACTCGGTTACGTCATACGTGAACCGATTAAAAAATTAATTGTCTGCTACCATTACCACCATCCGTTCGCGTAAAATAAAATCCAACGATAATTACGAATCGTGTTAGTTAATTCTTGGAATTGCGATGCATGTTGCAACACACGCCAACATTCAACTCCGATGAAAATCTCGTGACGGCACGATTATAATTTGCAAATTACTCTATCGGAGAACGTGTAAAGCCGTGTGGATCAACGATTCCAGCTCGCGAAATCAATTAATGATTGAGAGATATCGTTGAAATAATTTGTCGACGTCAGGGAAATTGGTAGATCATCGATCATCCACCGATGAACCATTCTCTCTCTCTCGAGAGAGAAAAAGAGCGGCTTCGAGAATCGCGGATAAAAGTGAAGAGCCGTTCATCCGTTTTGCTCTCATCTCGTATCTCGAGCTCGAGGATGATCGTAACGCGTGTTGATACTTTTGTTCGATCGATGCACTGGTCGACGTGCTCGTTTTGTTACAAATCGCGTGTAATAATTTTAATGTTCGACGAGGAACAATTACGAGTGAACCCCTTTGAACCGGGAGAGGAAGAAAAAGAAGGAACGACGCGTGTGTCATAGGAATCGTAAAGCTCGACGGATCTCTCCAACGTCCGGTAGAGCGAGGATCATGCTACGAATTGACGAACGCCAACGTTTTGTCCGTCGATCGCCGATAATGATCTACAAACGATCATTAAGACGATCGCGAAAAGTGTGTGTGTGTGTGTGTGTGTGTGGTAAGCACGATAAATCACGT